TAAAACATAATGTCTCGTAAATCTGTGCATCCGAACTACTCGTAATAAATTCATGCGGCAGATTCAATATTAGGGAAGTTTCGTTGTCCCATCCTTCATCGAAATATTTCAACCAAAACACATGTAATGGAATCCCTGTTTTTAATCTGCTTCTGTGTCAAATCCCTCTGGGCAAATACTCCTCCGATTGTGATTGTTGAGAAACATAGCCAGACAAATTCCCAATAATCCCTCCAACTCTTCCAAGAAGCTGTTGGGCCCGACGGAAGGATAAAGCCCCGCTGCAACTGAGCGGATAGAAGGACCTCGAGCTATCATTCTCCCTCTCAGTAGTTCATGATCTCTCGGCTCAGTGGGATTCAGGTTGTGCCTCAAGATCTTCTCCTGGCACAGAATCTTGATGAGCTCATTTTTGTTGTGATATGCAGCTCTAAATATATTACAAACTTTGTTATAAAATAAATAATATAAATCTACCTCATCCTATAAGCCACCGTTTAATTACCTATGCTTGGCTAGAGACATTTCCATGTGGGGGGTTTCATCATTTGTACTATTCTCTATCTATCTATCTATCTATCTATCTATCTATCTATCTATCTATCTATCTGTCTGTCTGTCTGTCTGTCTGTCCGTCTCTGTCTGTCCGTCTCTGTCTGTCTGTCTCTGTCTGTCTGTCTATCTATCTATCTATCTATCTATCTATCTATCTATCTCTCTATGCCTGTCTGTCTGTCTATTATCTATCTGTGACTCTACAGTTCTTGTGAACCTTGGCCGCTTTTTCAGTTCCTTAATCCTATACACAGTCCTTGGACTCCTTGGGCGGGGGATCAGTCCGTCGCAAGACCTCTACCTATACACAGAACAACACAAACAGAATAAACGCACACAGGCATCCATGCCTAGAGTTGGATTCGAACCCACGATCCCAGTGTTCAAGCGAGTGAAGACAGTTCATGCCTTAGACCGCGCGGCCGCTCTGATCGGCCACTAAATATCATTAGGGTGATCGAATCGATGAGGTAACAATGCCGGGCCGTGTACAACTCATGGTACAGATGAGAAATTTGTAAAGAATTTAGCCCGTATACGTGAATGAAAATGCATATTTGGAGGCTTAAGTTTAGAAATAAAAATAATATTAGAAGGGATCTACAGGTAATGGGATATGGGGGTGTGAGCTGGATTTATGTGGCTGAGTATAGGGACAAGTGACTGGCACTCGTGATCACAGGAATGGACCTTCAGACACTACAAAGCACAGGATACTTCTTGACTACTTGAGCTACTATTAGCTTCTCAGTCAGGACTCTGCTGTATGCAGGGCAAGAAACGTCGCGACAGTGGCTAGTCATTCCTGCTGTAGGAAAGCAGTTGTAGTGTGTAAAGTCACAGGAATGAAATATTAATTGCTGAGGAATGAGACAAAATTAATATAATTATTTACTGTGGGAATTCGGGAAATTTAAGTTACAGTTCACGAAGCGGTAAATAATCTTATAGTCAAAAATTGGTCTTAAATTCTTACCCGCACATTTTATTTGTGGTGATAAATATAATAGTAATTTTATTACCAGACAATTTATTGACAACATTAGTATAGCAATTTTAAATAATCTGGATATTGATATAATTTTGAGTGGTTTACCTGGGAATGTTTCTTGACAACAATTTCTGGTTTAATCTTCTTCCTGTTAATTACAAGAAATACACAAATGCTAAGAAAGTATTCCTTTTTTTTTTTCTTTTGCAGACTTATAATTCAGTACTGATATACCCTGAATTAAAAAAAAAGAAAGGAATTATAAAAGTAGGTGCACAGTCTGTAGTTGGCAACACAGTTTAATATTCAATTTTCAGTCTTATTCCCATGCATTGGTTACCTCTGGCTTTACAGGTCGAGCCAGTGTCTTCAATAGGTTACGTATTTAAGAGTCTACCTACATTGTTAGTCGTGGAAGAATTATTACGAAGAAGAGATTTCTTTATATATCTAACAAACATGAAACTCAGTAGAGTCCAAACGTTTATCACTGTATTATGGATGGCACACGTTTGCATCATATTCAAGAACACACATTCATTTTCTGTCTCTTCAGTTTATAGTAAAAAGTAGAACTGCGTATTCAAAGAAATACAGTAGGAGCTTTGAATAATGTAAAATATTGTATTTTTGTGTTGACATTACAGTGTCCATTTTATCACAAGTTACCTGATGTTATCTGAATAAGATCACACTTGAATGGACGTGACCTCAGAACTCGAGGCTACATGAGAATATGAAGATGCCTTTAAAGAGAAACGCGCACCAGTAGCTGAAGATGGTCTTAAAAACACAAATAAAATATTTGTCTCAGATACTGTAGTGAATTCAGCCGGCGTTCTTATTTCTTCCGCAGCATTGCGTGCTATAAGAATCGTGTATCATATATTTTTATTGCTAATCCGAATGAGATAAAATACGGGGTTCATGCAAGTCATATGCATCCTAATTGGGTAGTCAATTATATTGACCAGGGGATAAATACGTAAACCTATTAATGTGAAAATGTTTATATGTGATACAGCATAAAACACATTTAAAGGAAAGTAAACGTATTTTTTTTACTAACTGTAGTTATTACTTTTAAACCGAAGTAACGAAATCACATAACGTGAGAGAGTAACCCACCATCCCCCCCCCCTTTTAATGGCGCGTCTCTCGCTTTATATATATACGTAAAATATCAGTTCACTATTTATTTACAAATGACTTTAATTGTCACCACTTACAGCATAATGTCATTTATACGTCAGTAAACAAATGTATTTGTAGCTTAGTATCTGATGCTGTATCACAAACACATCAGTCATAATGGACATTCTTGATGCCTTGCGAATATTGATCCTTTAGAAGGAATTATGTTACGAAATATTCACCACTGTACTTGACTTATGTCTGCTTCATGTATGTTCTTTGCCTAACTTCCCTATTGCAGCTAATATTTGAAAGTTCGTATGATGTCCTTCAAAACTGAAAATCGATAAGTAGGAACAATCACAAAGAGTCGCCTGGTGCGCTGCTAGAGGCCTCGTCTCCTGCCAGGGTAGAGCTTGTGGCCAGCCATTCGCCAGTACTGCTGAAATTATACAGGAGTTTGAAAAATTCTACAATATATGAAATGAAACCTGTTAACTTTTCATACCCAAGCTCGTCATCCATACGAGTATAGGTTCCAATGGGACAGACAACCTGGTGTTTGCATTCCTTGCTTCACAATTTGTGGAATTAGTGTCATAATATCCTGCGGATACTTTGTTTGGGTTTCTAATAATTTATCCGTTCTTATTTTTGTAGGCTGCCTTTGTATCTTGTCATTATACATTCTGAATTAAGATTTTGCACTTGTGATTAAACCTACGCATAAATTTAATAGAACTGTAGGTGAGTTCAAACCTAAAATGTTGAGGTCTTCAAAAGTTACCCTATAGGACGTAAAAGACTTGCAAAGTCAGACTCTGAGAAGTGTCCTCGATCTAAGAGTTCGTGACATTAACAGACATAACTGAAATCAAAGCAGACATTGGGGACTTTCTAGTTTGGTTCCTGCCTGTAGCATTCGTTTACGTTTGACAAATATTTGATATAACGGGCAGGTATAATTGTATTCTTTCCGGATTAATTTAAATGCAATCGATTTGTCTCTCATATAATATGCACCCTTAGTATGGTTATTACTTAATAATTAAATTTATTCCATCTAGGCTGAGGCACTTTGCTACAAGCTGGAAGGTCGCGGGATCTAATCCCGTTGAGGTGGATTTTTTCAATTGACCTAATCCTTCCAGCCGCACTATGGGCCTGGAGTCGACTCAGCCTCTAACAGAAATGAGTACCAGTAATATTCTTGGGGGTAAAGAGCGACCTACGCGTAAGGCTGACAACCTTACCGGTATCTATGATCTATGAGACGATTGTCTACATAATGTGGGACCCTCAACATCTCACAACCCTATGGGCCTCCACGGCCTGTTACAGGGATACCTTTACTTTTTTTCTTTTTTGCTTTAGGCTGCTGAACTTCTAATCCATTTTCCTCCGAGCTGTTAAGTTCCAGAAAATTAAGTTTAATTTAAATGCAGTCAAATACACTCACATAATGTGCTCCTTCTAGTATGGTTAGTACTCAGAATTAAAGTTAGTCGATTTAGTGTGCATAAATTTTTCTAATAAACTATTTTCTCCGGATTCTTGAGTTTCAGTAAATACATTAATCCTTAATCATTAATTAAGTTACTGAATTTTACTGAATTATATATATACGGAATCGGGTTGCCAATAATATGAACTTCGACCCTTTTTCTGATGTTAGTCACTGGAAGGCAAACCTCAGAAATTGGCTTCACAAGTTATAATTTGGCTCATTATTATAAAGAGTCTTCTGTTCAGTGGAAATTTGAAGAAAATTCGACCTCAAAAACGATTTAACACTCGCCAAAATTTTCAGAGACATGTGATATCATACAAAATTGTCTCTTGTGACATATCTTCGCATTCAACTGCTAAACGCTATAGCGGCATTAAGAGCTTAACTTGCACAATAATAACGACGGAAATTTATAGAGGGATTTCTTACAGATAAACTGAACTTCATTCAGGAATATTTTTCTGTTTGACGTTTTGTAGCTGGAATTAACGCAAGAGATAGTAAGAATTAATTATAAAACAAATTTGCAATTGTATCATACACGGTTTACTCTTAGACGTTTAATTCGTGGCTTTTTAATTGCAAAATTATTCTTAATGGAGACGGAGGAGCGAAAGAAAGGACAATCCATTGCTTTTCAAACAATATGAAAGTTTGAAGTTCATTTATTTTTAATGCTGCTCTGTTGCATGTTGCAATGTACCTTCCGTGTATAATTTGTTAGTGTGTCGTTGTAGATACCAGAACACATTTCAAGAAGTTCCTGTCTTTGTAATGTCTTTCATTATTCTTTCAGATGACCAGTACAACTGCAACTGGGCCTAACTGAATTGTGAAGCTATATTTTCTGTGCTTCGGGTTTGAGCGTTAAAGGTGAGTTTTGCATTGCATTTTAATTATATTCCATTTTAGAAGCTGACGCCTCGTCAGTCGGCTAGGTATGTCAGTTAGTTGTCTGTAGAATTGTATTGTCACGTAAGTCTGTGTGATGACATGAATGCAGTGGAAAACAATAATACGAACTCTTATGTTTCATTACGGACCAGTTATTTCTTGACCTATGGAAGAAATATTATATAAACAGTAGTTCGGGCTTTCAGGTCATTGCAGTTGTTTTAAAAGGAAAGAACTTTATGACAAGAATGGAGTATCATTTCTCCGTAAGTGAAAGTTTAGGCCAGTTATTAACGCCGGCTGAATAAAGTACTTTATTTCCTATTTTGAGGCTGAGAGGTAACCAAATAATACAGCACATCTTACATCATGCAGTCTGTCGTATGAAACAGAGCTGTGTCGCTCTTCTCAGTTGCCCAATGACTTTTTAGGTTTTGTGTGTTCTTCGTTTAGTGCCATCATCCACCAGGAACTTCATGAGGCATTTCACAAGTTGAACTCTTAACATTAGGGTAACAATAGTAGGAATGCTCCTCAATTTCGGAAGCGACTTTTAGAAAGATATAAATAAGTCGTTACTTCTTTTTGCGATGAAACAATCTCAAGATTGCAACACAGTGGTTACACAGAAACCCGGAGCAAAACATACCCCTTTTTAATGCATATTTTCGTTCAGATGGTCCTACCTTTTAGTATAGTGTTTGGTCCATATTTGGCAATGAAAGTTTGTGAGTAACATAAATAACATTCAGCCAGGTTATCTCGAACATTTTGTGGATTTCCAATCCACTACGTCACGCTACATATTCGTTATATGCTTCAGTCTTACAGTGTGAAAGGATATCTGCATAAAAGCTCAAGTTGTTATTATTTATATGATGAAGAATATGAAAAGAATTTTGGAAGCATGACATCCAGTCTGGAGACTGACCCACCGTCTCACGGATTATTATTATTATTATTCTGTCAGACAATATACATCTTATAGATATCCAAGACAAGGATCTTGATCACGGAGGATAACCACTGGATTTTACACTGAAGCTTGGAAAATGTTTGGTCACACATGAAGCACTATTTGAAGTGGCGGGATGTATCTCATCATCTGACAGTCCTCACTGATGTCGGAACACTAGGAGTACCAGGCATCACACTGGCCAGGATCGACCAGAGCAATATGACGCATGTACTTGTATAAACAGTTATTGCGGGGTGCAGCAATGAGGGCGCCGAACTTCTGCTACCGTGCTGCATTGCTGCTGGCTTCTCACCTGAAACAAGAAAGGAAACATCCTTGTATCTTGAGTTATTTAATGATATTTGGTGAGATATGCAGTTTGTATAACGGATGAAAAACGACAGGAAATAATTGTGTTGTGAGATGGAAAAAATTGCTGTTTGCCGAATAAACCGAAAAAAAAATGAAACGCAAGATTTTTTTTTTAATCCGCATAGTGAGGGGTGGAGTCCAGCAGGGGCCAATCGTCACGTCGGCCACTGATTGGCCTATTGTAGCCTACCCCGGGTGATTATGATGATGGAGAATTTGGTGGAAAGAAGTTTGGCAAGGGAAACCGAAGTACTTGGAGAAAACGTGCCTCAGCGCCATTTTGTCCAGCACAAATCCCACTTGACCAGACACGGGCTACCGCGGTGGGAAGCCAGCGACTAACCGCTTGAGCTATGGCCCGGCTTTCAAACGTATGATAGTCGATCAAAGACTTGAACTTCAGATATACCAATTATTAAGCAGGACTCCTCGTAGACATATGTACCCGTGTACTCTGTATGTATTGTGGCGTATAGACCCGTTACTAAGCAATGACTTTTTAAACAGCTGCCGTTGCTGTGTAGCGCCCGCAGCATAGGAGTGCGCGGTGACGTCATGCAAGAATAGAAGAAGTGTTGCAGGCGAGTTCTGAGGGTCTGATCCGAGGCTACATGATTCGACCGACCGAGTTCAGTTCAGTGAGTGAAATTATAAGAGACTTAAACTTGGCGGTGGTGAAGCTTACTACCGTTCAATTCACTCAGCTGCCGTTATAGCATAAGGTACGTAAGGTAGGCATGATCTGCTTTGCAAAGCCTGTTCTGACAGAGGACTTGTATATAGTGCAAAAGGAAGACTTTTCAGTAACACGTTATATGTGCGATACGTACACTTGACGAAAAGCCAAGTATATTAATAAGAGGAAACCCCCATCTTATCATCAGAGACGATGTTACATAAGGACTATTACTGCAAGGGTCCAGTTGAAAAGAAAAAAGTCTGAGGTTGTTAGTCTCAAGGGACCTGACGCCAAGACGAATTGCTTGGCGGTAAACCGCTAGTCGTAAAGTAAACTGACTTTTGAGTTCAGTGAATGAGTGCAGTGCAGTTGAGGGTTCAATTGTTGAGTGTTAACAATTGAACAGCAGAAGCGGAAGAATCTCCGTCGCTAAGATCCGTTAACAGGAAACGTCTAGTAAAAACGCTGCAGAGGACTAGCCATTGTGGAGAACTGGTACCATTTATCTACTAGTGAAAGTACACTCAGAACATTTAATGTGGAGTGATTTGTAGTGCGGAAATCAGCAGTAATGTTATAGTTATTTCTATTACGATCTGTGACCCATTTCTTCGTGCGTTTCCAGCACATATGTGGAAAGAGTTATACAGAAGAAGAATGATGCACTACTTCCAACAGGACAGATTATCAGTAATATGTTACAAGCGTTGATTTCAAGAAGCGGCTAAAGTAAAAAACATAATTTTGTTGTTGTTGTTGTACTAACACTGTGGTGGAATATGTAGTGTGTATCCATTGTTGATAAGTAGGTTTCAGTCGCATGATTAATTGAAACCAATGGTGCTGTTCTTGGTGGGAAGGTATGTAAGGCGACCTGGGTGAACAGTGGCAGTACCAAAACGCGGAAAGATTAACTTTGGTTTAGGTTATGGTGCGGTAATTGTGATGAGACTCCGGTCTCAGTAGGTCTCAGTCTCCTAAAGCATTGAGACTTACTTGACCTGTAGATAGACATACATGCATTAAATTTATGATAAAATTCCTCAAGTTACATAAAAAATAAATCATGTGAGCGTTTGAAACAGGAATGCCGTCTTATTCGAGGAATACTCGACTTTTGCACGTATTGTGAAACAAAAGATATTCTGTGCGCTAACTGCTCGCAAATAAATGCCGGAATTGAGTTTAATGCTCCAAGAAATTTAAACGAATTGAAATGGAATCCTAAACCATTTGAAAAGAAAAGTACATGCGGATTCCATTATTAGGTTACGAAGCCACAATAAGAGTGGAATTTTACGAATTCTCGCAGAAGCAGCAAGAGCTGTTGAGATGAGGGTGTAGCTCACAGGGAGGAAAGGCCAGTACCTCTACCGTAGAAGTTTTAATTGATGATGTCTTTACAGTAACCCTTTAAAGTCCAGTAATTGTGCGTATAAGCACCATCTGCCTTAACAAACTAAAACTCTATATAAATTCTGCCCACAGAGTGTAATTGTGTACACGTATCTCCTATCGTTCTCAGAACAAAGAGCAACGTAACCTGTTTCCCGTGAGGTACAAATTAAATTGTTAGTCACAAAATTACTGGTATTAGAGGACACGACGTTTCGGAAACTGGATCTCTTTACGTCCTCAGGTGAGAAAGGAAGACACCTACTCAGTTGGTCCCCTTAAAAGAGCTGATCTCAATCACAGTGATTGAGATTAGTTCTTTCTAAGGGGCCCCCACTGAGTAGGTGTCTTCCTTTCTAGCCTGAAGACGTAAACAGATCCAGTTTCCGAAACGTCGTGCCCTCTATTACCTAGAATTCCGGACGATGGAAAAAGTAAAAAATCCCAGTAATTCTGTGTGTCATCCACCATCGTCAGAACCCTTTAGAATCTAAATTGTTAGTGTTATTTATAATAAATTGAGTCTTAAGGGTTAATATTATCACGTGTTAAATGGCAAGACAAGGGTTTGGATTGTTAATCGGATTTATTGAATTGTTATAACTCTTAACTACAGATAATTACAACAGTTTCGCTTGTTGCCGCACTGTACTATTCACTGCAGTGCGCACAATGTCTTGTCTTCAGTAGGCGCTGTTTCACAGTGGCTCCTCATATTCCTTGTTCAGCTGCTTCTATTGTCGCTGGCGGGCGGCCCTGAACTCATCGCTGGTTGACGTCTATTTCACAGTTCCACTCGGCTTTGCTACCCAAGGGCTTACACCAACGGGGGCTCCTCGCCAACCACATATCCGCCACGGGTGGTGGGGGGGCAGAGTCAGAGTCACTTTACGACTGGCGATTTAACCTCAGTCAGATCTTCCTGGCGTTAAGCCCATCGAGGCTTAAGGCCAGTTTCTTTTGCAACTGAACCCTTGCGGTCATAGTCTTCGTGTAACACCCTCTCTGACGAGAGGGTGGGTTTGTCACTTTTGAATAGGCTTCTCCTTTTTCAAATGCACGTATCGCACATGTAGCATAGAATTATCATCCTCGTTTCAAATGCATCTTCTGTTGGCCATATATCTTCAGTACTTTAAATAACTTAATAAATAACTGCAATCCTACGAAATAAGTAGTTACGTCGGTAACCGACAATGCACAGTAGCACAGCAGTGAGCTATTAATTTTAATTGCATTATCTACAGGCTGTTTGAATGGAAGTTACTAACAGATGGTTTACTACTTCGTGCTGATTACATGATTTTACCGTCGGTACTACCAGATATTCGTATAGTGCTGACAGTCCCTTCACTGCATACAGTTTTTTCTAGTTATGCTGTTTCTCGAAGAAAGCAGTCTTCTGGGATTTGGCACCGTGTATATGTGGTGTTAACCTCCGCTCCGTGGACATGAGGTTGAAGGAGCATCAGCGGCACATCCGTCTCGAACAACCGGACAAGTCGGCCGTAGCTGAACACAGCATCGATCTGGGACACCGCATTCAGCTTCAGAATACCTCCATCCTCGCCACCAAGACCCGCTATATGGATCGCATCATTAGGGAGGCAATCGAGATTGAACTGCATCCAAGAAATATGAACACAGAAGGGGGGTTTTGTCTCAGCAAGTCTTGGAAACCTCTCATCTGTTCTCTTAAAAACCCCCCACCGGGATATGACGCCAGATCCAGAAGGCCACACAGGCCATGACCAACCAACATAACAACCCCCCCCCTCAGCTTACGGGTTGTGCCCAGCCTTTAACCTTGCCTTTCTCTCCCCTACACATAAACCACGCTTGTCCCAGCTCCCTTCCCCTACCCCTCCCACACTATTGCTTTCACTTGAATACTTCCCCCTCCCCTTCTCCCTCTCTGCTCTCACATAGCTGTATATATTTCCACAGTCTGCTTTTACCGGTTCTCACGGTCTCTCCGCTTGCAGATTTCTTATATATTTTTTCTTCTACCCTGAAGATGTAGGCGATACGTTCCTCCGAAACGTCGGTTAACACCACATATACACGGTGCCAAATCCCAGAAGACTGCTTTCTTCATAGTCACCGCCGTGAAAGCCTCAAATCTTATATATCGGTTCTCGACAGAGCCTGCTCAACTGCACATTGTATGTAGTTTCGACATGACAGAAGATGTAATGACGCCCTTGTGACTTAATTCAAGGCACTATCCGAGTCTTCTCCCGCAGACATTTAGTGAACTCCTCGGGATAACCGTCCTCTCGCTTGAGATTGGAACCCGTGACTTTCCAAATGCGAAGCTACTTCATTTTATTACACTTCGAAATCACGCTCCTTTGTCCGTGAATATTCTGTGTGACAACGATCATGTATTCCGTAAAGAGGGTTTCCGTATAAATGCCGAGACTTCAATTCCGTACAAGCATTCATGAAGCCTGTAACCGAACGTTGTTTTCTGCTGACTTCTTCCTTGAGGAAGACCAGGAAGGCTGGCAACAACAGTATGCTAATTTGCGATCACTGAATCTGCCAGAAACAGTAAAGCCAATATACGTGTTACGTCATTCTCAAAATCTTTGCTTTATCCTCTGTCTTCATGATATTAAATATGGCAGTTACCTTGCGACTCCCAGTTTGCGCACGTCATCTTATGCTGCTCTAACATTGGGATCGCCCGTTCCAAAAATACTCGAGGCATGAGTATTTGTTATAATATTTCGGTATTTTTGTATGGTTGCAGTGATCATGCTATTGTCTTCACTGTCATCCAAGGAATTCCAAATTGTATATTTGTAACGTTTGGCTTGTTTTTTTTATTGCTAGTGGGGTGGGACTAAGTCCCTTGTACT